CCCTGCCACTAGCCCCTTTCCCATGTGGCCCAGACTATCGCGGTGAGTGTGACATCCCCGGACAGGAGCGCTCTTTGCTAAGCCTTGGCTGGGTGGCTGTCCAGAGTTTTAAAGAGGGATTTCCATGGAGAGAGGCCAGGTGCTTGCAGAAGAGAGGGACCTTCCCCCCAAAGAACCTGGGATGAGTCAAGTATTGGCCCCACTGCCTCACCTGCCATTGTAGCCTGGGACAACCCGTTGGGTTTTAATGCACTTGTGGTTTCTGATGGGAGAGCTAGAGGGCCAGACGGGGTGACGGTGGCCCCAGGGCCCTCTGTGATCTCCAAACCCAGAGGATCAAAGAGGAGTTTAGCAAACTCTCCTCCTGCTGGGATGTGAATAGGTCTCTATGGCTCTGGGCCATTGGGCTGCCCCTGAGACAAGGTGATGGGGATCTGAGCGATATGGAGGGTCGATGGCGCTCATCTGTGGATCAGGATCGAGGCCCCTCCGCGGGGGTGAGGGGACTGGGATAGCAAGGGGTACTGCGGGCTAGGATTGAGGAGCTTTGGGGTGGGGGGATCTCTGGACAGGGATAGCGGGGGGTGGGGGTTGCCGGTCAGGATTGAGGTGCATCAGCAGAGATGTGTGGAGAGCCCAGGACTGGGATAACTGGGGGAGCTGCAGGTCAGGAGTGAGGGACCTGGTCAGGGCCGTGTGGGGAATGGGAGAGCCCAGGACTGGGATAGCTGGGGGGCTGCAGGTCAGGAGTGAGGGGCCCGGTCAGGGCTGTGTGGGGAATGGGAGAGCCCAGGACTGGGATAGCCGGGGGGCTGCAGGTCAGGAGTGAGGGGCCCGGTCAGGGCTGTGTGGGGAATGGGAGAGCCCAGGACTGGGAGAGCGGGAAGCGGAGCTCTAGGATGGGATTGAGGCGCCCATGGCCAGGTTAGCAGCTGCAGGCCTGCTCTGAGGTGCATGGAGGTGACCTCATTTATCCTCTATCTCTGGGCATTAACGGGCCTTGGCTAGAAGCCAGCTTGGCGTGGCCAGCAGGGTTACTGTAATTTCCTATTCCTATCGCTCTGACAATGTGCAGGGCCCTTGGTGACCGGGACGTGCCGCCCACAAGACCGAGGAAGATAGGAGCCCTCGAAACAGGGAGGAAAGCCCTTCCTCTGAGACCTCCCTCCCCCACATACCACCACAGCCTCCACCCCCAACCCAGGCTCCATAGCAAGGAGGCTGGGTGGCTCCTGGAGATTTGCTGGGGCAGATCCACTTGGGTTCTGCTGCTTCCCCAGGTGGCAGGCGGGTTCTTAGCTCCCTGCCTGCTGTGTTCTCTTGTGATCCCAGCAGGGCACTGCTCAAAGCCGCTCCCTCCGGGCCTGTCACCTCCTGGCCGGACCTCACTATTAAAGAGGAAAGTTGTCCCCATCTGGGCCCTGCATCTGGACCTGCCTGGTAGGTGCTGCCCCAGACCCAGGCGAGAGGCGGGATCAGATGGGGCTCGGTAAGCCGCCCAGCGATTCTGCCATGGCTCCAAACCCAGCCATTCCCCCAGCTGGAGGAAACAATCCATCCGTTGTCAGCACGCCGGCTCACAGCCAGCTCCCTGGGCCTGGCACGAGGCATGCCCATTGTTTGGGTTCCTCTTTCCCTCCGCTGCGGGGTTTGTTTACGTGGCGCAGTGTTGACCCGGGATCTGCTGGTTCTTAGAGCCAGGAGGTACTCAGGGGCCCACAGCTAGCTCCATCGGGGACCCTGGGCCAGTCCGATCCCTGTGCCAATCCCAGCTCAGTGACTTAGCTACCGCACATGCCAAGAGGAAGGTGGCACCGAGGATGCTGCTTTAACCGCTAACACCCTGGAGCAATGCCTACATGCATCTGCAGCCCCCATCTCTCCTGCAACCTCCCCCCCCCAGTGAATGACACCGCGTCCTCCATCAACAGACCCACCCCACTCTCAGGCACCTCACCTGACCCCGTATCCGGCCCACTGCAATGGATTTCTCCTCTGCAGCCCACTCCTGGCCCCACAAACACACACACGAGGGTCGTCAACTACAGCGCACCCCTGCGTGCCGTTGGGCCGGGATCCGGGACATTCGGCACCAGCCCCCTCCACGCTCCCATGTGCTGCAGGAGGCTCAGCGCTTCTCTCCAGCACAGGCAGCTGCCGCTCCCGGTACCCTGGTCGCACACATGGGAACAGGTCAGTTCAATAGGGCACAGCCCATCCCTGGCTTGACAGCTCTTGGAAAGTAGTTTAGAGTCATAGAATCCTAGAATCTCAGGGTTGGAAGAGACCTCAGGAGGTATCTAGTCCAACCCCCTGCTCAAAGCAGGACCAACCCCCAACTAAATCATCCCAGCCAGGGCTTGGTCAAGGGCTTCACTCCC